TATTATTATTATTATTATTATTATTATTATTAGACCAACTTATTCGTATTAATGTTGAACAGATTTCGGTACTACCAGGCTAGGTCACAACTGTAGTCGAATGTGAATGCTAATACCTTTTGAGAGTCGGTTCAAAGAGAAATCACACGTCTTGTGAGAGCTAGACTTTTCCTTTTTAGACTCACTTCGACGACCTAAACGGACTACATTCTTATAGCCATTGGGTTATGGAGGCCTGTATCAACATTTGTCTCACCTTCTTCGACTCCATCGCCGTTCGTTCGCCGAGCCGATAGTGCAATCTGGCGTTGCGGCCGACGTCGGCGTCCGTGGCCGTCAACTTGGCCACCAGCCAGCCGACCGGTGCATCTTCACGTACCGCCAGATTCACCTCCTCTAGACGCCGTCCGGCGACAGCGAGACCGTTGACGGTCTGGAAGATGGGCGGTGAATCGTTGACGTCGTCGACGAACACCGTCAGACTGAGGGTGCTCGAGTGTCGGTGCATATTCGGGCTGGCCAGACCGTCCACAGCGACCACATTCAAGCGGTGCACAGAGACGATCTCGCGATCCAGAGCGCGTCGTAAGACCAGTTGCAGACTGACGACGCGATCGGACGTTACGCTTCGGTTTCCCGTCGACTCGCTGACGCTCTCGTGGTCCACCTGAAGACCGAAGTAGACAAGAGAGTTTCCCGCCTCCAGAAACGGTGCCGTCAAGTTGGAGGTCTCGGTGGCGTCGTCGCTCGGGTCTGGCATCGTCGGTACCGCTTGCAAGTGGTACTGAAGAGCGGCGTTGCTGCCAATGTCGGCGTCCACGGCGACCGGTAGCCGTTTACGCGCTCCCACATCGCCCGGAGACTCGCTGAACGAAGTGGTGAACTGGGCCGAGGGTTGAAATTGAGGCGCTTGGTCGTTAATGTCGTGGACGAGGAGACGAACGCTAAACAACCGCATGCGTGTCTCCAAAGGGTAGGCTGCTATGGTGACGACAAGCACGCAATATGGATCTCGATCTTGCACTGTCTGCTCCGGTTTGTCCACGGCTCTGGTGTAGCATCGACAGCGATCCGTCTGGCTCCAAGCGTCTTCCAAGCCGCCTCCGGTCGAGTGGACCAGTCCCGAATCGTCTGTGAAGGCAGAAGAGGCGGTGCCGGCTGGAGAGGCCAGGACGTTCTGACCATTCGCGTCCGACTCCGGTCCAACTGGGCTGAGGCATTCTTGTTCGCGGTCAAACGGCTCGATCAGCGTCAACTGTAGATCGCGTGGACCAATCGTCTGCACCGTGAAGAACCGACTGGCCGGTTGTCGTGACGGGAAAAGCTGTAGCCACGGCACTCGAGCTGACTGGTTGATGTTGGGGCCCTGGGACTCGAGGACCGGACTTGGGTCGACGACATCTGTTTGAGGCGACCAATCGGTGAGATTGAAATCGGCCACCAAGTTGCCAAGACGCATGGGAACCGGAGCCTCTTCGAGCATTTCGTAGACAACGCTGGTCAGGCCCGGCTTCGGGTCGGAGTTGACTTCGGTCTGGGAAGCCAAGGCGTCGACGCTGACGGGATAGGCTGTCCGGAGCATTTGGAGCCCAGAAAGCCAAATGATCAGCACACTGTAGGCAACCAGCCGGTACAGGAGTCCTGAGGCTAGACGGTTGCTAGGTAGGTCGTCTTCCTGGTACAGACCGTGACCCATCTTGGCAGTCGAGGGGCCAATTCGCTTCAAGTCTATCAGCATTAAGTTGACATTGGTTGCAGCATTGTGCTATTTAAGTAGACAAAATGAACCACTACTTTGTTATTTTTCCTCAATTTATGCAGCCCAGGGCGACTAAAAGTACTTTATTTTAATGTAACTAACAAACAAAAAACATATGATATGAATGAAATCCACATGTGTCATGTAACTCAGGGGCATTTGTGGCTGTATGGCGTGTTGATACCATCTGGAAATTGTACTCTGCGCAATCGAACTGTACAACTATTCTGAAAGTCAAGATCTGTTAGTATCATTTTGAAAGTAATTTTCGCTATTTGTCCTTCCTACCTTATGCGAACTGGGGTGACTAAAACTGTGATTTTAAGCCTTACTGATAGCCTCTAAAATCAACTTAATTTCAATATGATTACAGAAAGCCTGGGTTGTTTAAAGTGAGTTAAAGAGTGTTTTTCGAATTTTCTCCCATAGTGACATGATCAGGCCTCACGATGCCATTTCATTGAGCCTGACCGTACCTCACAAAGGCTGTCGATCTCGTCTCCCAAGCTCACTGACATCCTGTTGGATTTGACGCCATGTTGACTGTTTACCTCTTCGTTTAAAATACCACTGGGCAGCATATTTCATAAACAGGTATTCACATTCGTGCTAAGCCATGTTTATGCGAAGGAAAGAGGGTTTTCAAGAAATCTTTCGGTTTACAAGTGTTGAACTCACTTTTATTCTGGGTTAAAGTATGTGTGCGTGTGTGTGACGAAGGTAGTCAAGGGTAGATTCCAGCAGAAGATGAGGGCGGAACCTTTATGGCCAGCTGTTGATTGGCGTTATTGAAATAGTCTCCGAGGCAATCTGCTTCGACCTTACGAATAGACATCATTAGAGGGGCTATCATTCTTACAACCATATTCAGACTAACGTGTCACGGAAACTAGTTATGCTTGTTCCCAAGTTTATCGTGTAAATGACGATAAGGAAACATTTATTTGTCACGACAATCAACGACTATGTTTCGATATATACCAGTTCCTCTTAGGCAGGAATCTACCCATACTTACTGAATGTAAGCAGCATACTTGATGGAAATAGCGAAAATATATTTGCCAAATCGATAATTCAGTATGAAATGTGATCTCCAGGCGAGATCTGCCAAGCCCAAAAATTCCCATCTTCTCTGCGACTGCAAACGATTTGGGAGGACAAAATTCTCATTTATGTATACTTGCCAGACAGTCGGAATATGGCTGACACCAACGGGTAGGTGAAATCGAATGTTGTAAAAGTGGACAAAACAGTCGACAATCTTTGTTTATGGTTAATTATTCACAAATGCATTGTTTTCTTGGCTCGTTTTAAGAGGGCCATCTGGTTTCGTGTGGCCAGCCAGTGATTGCTAGACAGATGCGAAAAATTGGCGTATGAAGTTAACTAGTGCAAAGGTATCCTAATAGTCGAAGTTGAAGCATGCATTTGCGGCTTTTGGCGCCAGTGATTTTTTAGTTGCTGTCATCTTTCAACACAATCCGCACATTTAGATCTATGTTTCTTCGCCTACAACTTAGCGTGTTAGTTTGGCCAGGTCAGAGAAAGGAGCTTGGATAGTTTTTTGCATCAGCTTTGAGGCCAAAGGAATGATAATCGTTGGTGTATTTCCAACTGAACAGCTGAGAAATGGAGTCGTTGATGGTTGTTCTCATCTGAACAAGGTGAATATGAGCCCCAGTGTGCCAGCTAATCTAATCTATTTGAAAAGGAGCACAAAAAGTGACTAAAATTATGCATTTTTCGTGTTTGAGTAGAGTTTCGAGACTACCAGTAAATCGGTAATATGAGATGGATTCACACTATTTCGTTTAAGGTGATGAAGGACTGGACTTCTGGTAGAAGTGATCTATGAATATTTCGATTGCACACTTTTGCACTATTTGGAAATGAGCTGAACAATTGCAGGCAAAGAGATTCATTAAAAGCAACCTTTATTTGTATATTCAACTTACTTGTGGCACAAATCTTTATCTTTCCTTCAGCAAGTAGGTTTTTCTAAACTATCTGTAAACATGATAAAAGAGCTGTATTAACCTGTTTCGTTTAACGTGATGAATGAGTAGTATTGTTAGAGGGACCTTCATTTCGGATGAAAGTGCATGAAGAAGAGATTCGTTGGTCGATCTCTCCAGATGAGGATGGATGAATCTCGTTGTACTGCAGCCGTTTGGATTTTATATGATATTCATGTTGACGCATTCCACGGGACTTCCTCCATCGTTTTGGGTGAAAACGGGCTGAGATTTCGTCCATCAAATGATGGACATTATCAGAGCTGTGCGTCATTCTTTTAAAAGTCCTACGTTAACACTAAAGCAAGAACACTATCCGGCTCTATCTTACTCCTTATATAGACTCAATCGAGCCAAAAAATTAAAAATTAAAAAACTAGATAACTACTGGTCCTGTCAGTTTTGCTCGATTGTATGAGTATGTGTGTTTGTGCGTGTTAGCGTCTATATGCATTAGCGTTACTAAATCAGACTTGTCAAAGATTACATCTCAGGTTCTGATCCTCAAGGCCTAATGACTCAAGAAAAAGTCGTGCCTGAGACTGCGTAAACAGGAATGGTTGAGATCATGAAATATGAGTTTGTAAACATGAAAATATATTCGTGTGAGAGTAGGGCTTCGATACTACCAGTAAATCAGTGTAATGAGATGTATTCACCCAATTTCGTCTAAGGTGATGAACGACTGGTAGTAGAATTTTCCCACAATGATATGAGTTGAGCTGACGTTTCCATTGCATTTCACATAGCCCGCTGAGGGTGTTGATAAGACCGATACGAGGTCGAAACTGCAATCCACTTCAGCCTGGATGAGAACAACTTTTGGGAAAGTAAGGCTATGTGAAAGTGAATGGAAACGTCAGCTCAAATCATATCATTGTGGGAAAATTCTACTACCAGCACTTCATCACCATAGACGAAATTGGGTGAATACATCTCATTACATGAAAATATAGTTACGAAACCCCTTGTTCTAAACCCTCCAAGGAAAGACAAGACTGGGGTTACGTAATCGGACATGTCTGGTTTGGTTGATGAGCTTACTCTAACGTTTTGGGCGAATGTGAGTAAAGTTAGAACAATCGCTAAGCGGACAAATTGAGTCGCCTTCTTTTTGACATCGGCTCAACACGCTTGCTCTCTCTTTCAATCTATCAATCGAGCATAAGTAATTCCTATTAAACTTTCTTCCACCGTCCCTCACATTAAACATATTTCCTAAGCTATTAATTTCAATAGCCTCTCTTATCTTTCTTTCAAACACAGTCGTACCGTAATCAGCAATCCTATTTATTTGAGACTATTTTATTTCATGTCCAGTATCTACCATGTGATCGGCCACTTCTGACCGTTGGACACAGCTTCCTTTACAAGCATTTTTGTGTTATACCAAGTTTTGTCGAATAGGTCGGCATGTATCACCAACATAACATCGACCATATGAGCAAACAATCTTGTAGCAACCGGATCTTGATAATGGGTCATATTTCTCTCTAAAATATGTCATAACAGAATAAAGTGTGAGGGTTTCGTTGAACACCGTTCTTATGCCCCACTTCTTCACTAATTCGCCTATCTTTTTTGAGAGAAAGCATGACGGTAAAATTAGGACATGGGAAAAGGTCTCAGTCTGTCTCTCTTTGACTAAATGGTCTCCGTCTGAAAATTAATTCCTCAGTAGTGAAACATTATTCGCAATAAGGCCTGAACAATCATTATTTTTTAGGAATATATTTATCAGCAAATGTTTGCTATCCGCTAATTCCATACTTCTAAGAATCATTGACTTCAAAATTCCAACCTTAGCTTTGTAACTATGGTTGAAAAGAAAATTAAGCGAATAGCCAACTTATGTTGCTTTCTTATAAATATCTCTTCCTAAACTACCCTCTTCTCTAATGATGAGAACATCCAAAAAAGGTGAGGACTTATTTTCTTCCACTCTATATCAACCAATCTAGGTTTTTTTCAATTTTTAATTTTTTGGCTCGATTGAGTCTAGATAAGGAGTAAGATAGAGCCGGATAGTGTTCTTGCTTTAGTGTTACCATGAGACTTTTACAAGAATGACGCCCAGCTCTGATGATGTCTATCATTTGATGGACGAAATCTCAGCCCGTTTTCACCCAAAACGAGGTAGGAAGTCCCGTGGAATGCGTCAAAATGAATATCATATAAAATCCAAACGGCTGCAGTACACCGAGATTCATCCG